TATGACCCATCCACCACCACCCTCTGAGTGCGAACCTTCAGCCAATCTGCAATCCATCTGACTGTGTAGGCATCTATGCCACAGTCGCCTAGTTTTTTAACTAGGATGGGGTGAGAGACGGTGTCAAAGGCCTTGCTGAAGTCCAGAAAGACTACATCCATGGTGACACCTGCATCCAATGCTTTTGTGACCTGATCATAAAAGGCAATCAGGTTGGTCTGACATGACCTGCCCCTAATGAAACCGTGCTGGTTGCCCTTGAGCATCATCTCTGAGACCAGCCCTTCGCAGATGTGCTCCATGATGATCTTCTCAAAGAGTTTCTCTAGGATTGAGGTAAGACTGACGGGCCTATAGTTGCCCGGGTCCTCCTTCCTCCCTTTTTTAAAGATGGGGACCACATTGGCTATCTTCCAATCATCTGGCACCTGGCCCGAGCACCATGAGCGCTCGTAAAGCCATGCCAAGGGCCCTGCAATATTCATTTTAACTCCATTTTAAGGAGTTAGGTCCCCTTTACCCCACCTCAGGTGTTTTAGTTTTTAATAAGTCAATAACAGCGGGCAGCATGAATCATATCATAACATAAGAAATTAAGGTTTTGTTGCTGCTGTTAGTTTTAGGGACATGGTGGGGGGGAAGTGCCGAAAGCAGCAATTTCATTGTTTTGCCTGCTTGCAGCTCTCAAAACACATTCCACTCCTCCCCTTCCAGTTCGCTTAAAAACAAATGTAAAAAGACAAAACAATGTTGTGCCTCCAAGCTAAGAGAGTCAGGGCCAAATCTTCAGCTCTGCTGTGAATCAGCATGACATCAGCTGAGCAACAGCCCTTTTTGCCAGATGCTGAACTGACCCTTTAGGTCCGATTTCAGTCCTGACAGCTTCTTTCCCCACCCACTCAGATTTTTCCATTGGATACACAGATGGAGCCTTATGCATATGTCCTGCTGTTCTGGCTATGGCTGACTTGCCAAGCTGATGCTTTCACTGTCTAGGAAAAATGCGGATCAGCATCTTTCAGGCTCCAGCTGTGCAACTGGAAAAAAAGTCAGGGTGGAAATTTGCAAACATGTTTAGCAGGTTTGCAATGCCAGCTTGAAAAAATCTTGTCTTGGAACCTGCATGAGGTTTTCCAGAAGGAAAGTAACCATCCTTTTTTTTTAAAAAAAGGCCTTTTAAGGCAGTATAGCATAGCAGTTAGAGCACTGGGCTGGGATTCAGGACACCTAGATTTGTTTCTTGGTTCTGCCACCAGCCCAATATGACACAACAGGCAAGTCAATAACCCACTCTGTGTCTCAGTTTCCTTATCTGTGACAAGGAAAGAATACAACTCTACATTTAGGATGGCCATCATAGAGGACATTCAGGTTTTCTGCTACGCTGTCCTCTGTCCTTTATTGGTACGAAACCCGACACCTTTATATCCTCTTTTTTTTTCCTTCAAGAGAAAAATAGAGGACATAAAGGCATCCGGTTTGGTATCAATAGAGGACAGAGGACAACTGGACTGTCCTCTACGATGGCCATCCTATCAGCATTTGTGAAGTGCTTTGATCCACCAATACAGAGTGCTGTATCTGAATTACATGTTAATTCATCATAATCATCCTCTCCAGTTAGGTGCCCTAAACCACTCTCCTCTTTCAAAAGTGAGATCCTAGCAAGTAAAGCAGGAGTAAATTGGGTATCTGAGCTGTATTTATCCTCATCCACAGATCCACTTGATAGGCGGCTGGGTGACAGTGGTGATAACTGGCATATTACTAGCCACTGATAAAGAATATATTCCATTTAAAAGACACCGGTGACATCCCTGAAACAACATATCTGTGAATACCAGCCTCAAGAGCATCATCTTATAGCCTATTCTCAGAATCCAATAAATGACTCCTTATTTGCATTGCCATGTGCTTTTGATCTTGTGTTTGATTGGCTAAGTGAGCTGCCACTCAATGAATAACTCCTTAGGCTGTGGTGAAGTTTAGTGGATGGGGCTAAAAACTAGTTCCCCTGCCAAGGGAACCTTCTTGCTGGGGCAGTTGGCTTAATTTCTTATTAAAGAAGGTGGCTCCCTGGGGAGTCTACAAGGGTTGATCCAAATACATTGTTGCTACAAGATACAGGGATCTGGACTGATTTGCAATGCAGTCAAGCAGCACAAGCAACCAGCAGATGCTACATTGATGCCATGTGTCCCCCAGTGCCCTGGTACATCCAAATGATCCAATCCATTGCACTGCCCAGGATTGGGGGCCTGGTCTGCTGGGTGTGAACAATGTTCTCTCATTCCAATGCTACCTGGATTCTTCCAAGAACACAGACACAGGGAACTGGATAGTAGAGTAATAAGCAAAGTAGTGTCCCTGTGTCAACATTGCTCTCAGGCAGAATTCAAATTGTCTAATTGCATGCCATGGGCACCATATGCCTAACAGTGGATGGGGATTCCTTGTTCACTTGGGACTTGTTTTCTTGGAGCAGGGGTATCAGAGGTTTCTCTACTCTCCAGGCCCTGCTCTGTTTGTGGTATCCTTGAACTGGATTCCTCTAGGGAACTGGTAGCAGTCTATTCATGGTAGCAAAGAGCTCAGCACACATTGCAAAAGCCAGGCAAGTAATGGAGAAATAACTGGGGTTTTAGCCCACGCCAAGCTCTATGTCCTTGTGGTTATGCTGCTGCTGCTAGTACTGGAGCTAGCTTATTTAAAAAGCACTCAGGTGTGAGAACAGCAACACACCACGAGTTGTAAACCTGCCACTGCTGAGAACTGGCCATGATTTGTTCCAATTGCCTGCCTGTTCCTGGAATTGAAAAGGGATATTCCTCACGGTTTGGGCAATTGCAAACAACATTTTTCTGAGGTCTGCAAAACCTGATACTAATCTGACAGCTCATGGGAGCACTCAGTTTTCCTAGAAAGAGGCAGGCTCAGGACATCTCTCAAATACGCATCATATAGTGCACCTGCCAGCAGGGAAACACACCCATGCGCCATGCTTTGCTCCTTCCCCAAATAGGCATGCCACGTTATCTACAAATGCAAATTGGCAAGAGATGGGGAGTATGTGGGCCGCTTCATCCCAGAACCAGCTGACAGCAAGAGCAGAGGACCGAATTACAGTGCATCTCTATGCCTTTGTTCCAGGGTCTAATGAGATGGAGGAGGGCTCCCCTCTCTGTCTCTTTTGAGAACTATACAGTGTTTTCCCATGCTGCTCCGGCATTTCCAAGAACCTCTCACTGTTTTTCCTCTGCCCTGCAATAGGCAATGCTTGTCTGCCCCAAACTGAAGGCAGTTTGTTTCCAAAGCACTACTGTTAATCTAGTTTTTGCAGGAACTGAGCTGAACTGAACTGAAATTAGAGAGGATTATTTCCTAAATGCCTGCTTTAGGCTTGCCGCTGGAAAGGAAAGCGATCTGGGCTAATGGCTGTTCCATCCACAGGAAGGCTATAATGATTTATAAATAGGATTTGAAGGTAATGTAACAAAACATGGCTACTCAGAGCCCAGTGACTGTCACCATGGCTACTCTGGACTTCCCAGCTGCACTAAGAGAACTCCTACACCTGTGCTTTAGGAGCTTGGGTATCCACCACTTCAGCAACTCTCTAAAAGCTACTAGCAGTATGGCCTCCAAATTGCACAGTGGAGTAGCTACAGGACTATCCAGCAAGGAGCAGTGGTGTGCATTTGTACGCACACTGCTCAAGCTGCA